CGGCAAGAAGTCGGTGGTACGATGTGGTCTATGGTGTTCGGTGGATCATCTTCGGTCGATTTTCTGATGTAACCGAAGTGGATCATTTGTCCGGAGTGCAGACTGTGTGCCGAGGTGGAGACACTAGGTGAATTTTGGGGTAATTTTCAAGCAGTTAATGACAGAAGTGATGAACGGTCGTAACGGTCAACGAGTAAATGTGCAGGCCGAACGGTCGCGCCGTAATGGTCTTAAAGGAGGTAACGGTCGACTTTAATAGGCAGCCACGTATACCAATAGGTGTCTCATCAGATGAAAGGGCGGCGTCGGTTAGGATTAGGGGTCGCGTCGGTTCGACGCGCCCCTAGTGGCGATATCCAACGGTCACAATCTGATGCTTATAAATAGGGTTTGGCAATGTTTGATCGGGTTTCCTTCACCTGTGTTTTCATTCTCGAATTTTCTTATCGCTTTGTTGCCTGAGTTCATCTGATTCTGCAGAATTTTCCTTGCTTGCTGTGTGTGAGAGATATTGGGTAAGCTTTTTTCTTCAATTTCTGTTGTTAATTCTCTTGTAATTCGTTCAACCGTACGATGGCGTCGAAAGGAAAGGGAAAGGCGGTGGCGAGTTCATCGAGCACGGAGTCGGTTCCATTGGACGTGTATCACGATTCGGAATTGGTCGAGTTGGCCTTCGAATATCACCGGTGGGACCCGTCGTTGGTAAGGCATTTGAATATACAGTTGAACGACGAGGATGGCGATGTGGTGGTGGAGCATAACGCAACCGACCTCGCGGTGCCGCATTGGAGAAGACCGGTGAGGAGGTGGCCCGATCCGGCGATCGACTTCATTGGTGAGCCGAGTATTCTTACCGACGCTGACGTCGTCATGTTGAGGGAACAGATTCGAATTCCCCCCTCGGTGAAAATCTTTGCTCCTTATCCCGGAGAGAGAATAACAAGCCCCCCTCCGGGTTGTGTGGGTGTATTTGTGGAGAGTCTGAGGTCGGGATTAAGGTTCCCGTTGCCGAATTTGATCACCGAATACCTCCGGAGATGGGAGTTGCCGTTGTGCCAAATCACACCGAATAGCTGGAAGAAGATAATCGGGCT